GGATGACATCACAGTAGAACATAACCCTCTAGAGGCTACTATTATGACATAAACATTACAAAGCAGTGCTATCAGTAAATGAAGTAAGAAATAGCAAATAGGAACCTAGGTGAGATTGTTTGTTATGCTTGTGAATTACTCAGCAAGGTCCTGTGACATGTGGTGGTAGGGTGAGAGAAATGTGTATACATGCTGTTTTCTTTACATTATTATTTTATCCTGGTTCAAGGTGTAATTTTATTTTTATTTGCAAAATATCTGAGTCTCTAATTTGCATATTTATAAAATAAGCAATTTATATTTTTGCTGTTCGATTTCTTATGGTGTAGAAGAGATGGAGTAAATAAAATGGGATGCTGCAGTAAATGGCAGGAATATGTAGTCTGTCCAGACAGGCTGCCAGACCAGAAAGGATTAATGAGCAATTTGAGGGTAGTGATTGTGTGTTTAACTTTACATGCAAAATTGACTATAAAGTTCTGATATTTAGTTGATAGTGCATACAAATTGATGAATGGACTTGATACAAATAGTAGAATGGACTTGAAAAAATTGTTTAGCAGTTTTTACAAAGGGACTTGGAACAGCCGCAGAAAGATGTTGGTGCAGGAACTGTGTTAGCCAAACACTGTAAGACAAGGTGAGTTTTGAGGGAACTTTCTTGTAAGGGGAAAGTTTGGGGCAGTTTATGTGCTTACAAGATGGGAGAAATGCTACCTCTGGTGGTTAAAATGGCTGCAAGTAATGAGGTGAGGTGGTAGTTACAGATGTGTATGTATGTGCATATTTAATTAAGAAAAAATAAAGATCCAAATGTAAGTATAGTACCTAGAGACAACATTTGGGAGAGAAACAAATTCCAGATAATGGTTCTGCATGGTGTCCAAGCTCTCAGTTTTAAACATTAAACCCTCTGCCACCCTATTTGTATTCGTTTGGCTCACTTTAATAATTCATCTTTTCCAATACACCTGCTATCTATTGACTATTTACAGCTCTCCTTATTTCCTGATCTTTTCTCATGATAGCCAGAGGTAGAGAGTGCTTCAGGCATGCATTTGCCTTATTTTAAAGGGATTCAGCTCTCATCGTTCTGATATTCACACATGACCTATGTGAAACTTGTGATGCATTCCAAGGGAAATGCAGATAATCAGAATTATTCATTATTTTTGGAATGTTTAAAAAAATTTTTTTATCAGTCAGTTATAGCTTGGTGCTCCTTGTATCCTCTTTTTGGTGATATAATAGTTTTAATTATGTACATTTTTCATGAATTTCAAGACATCTTTGAGAAGTGGGTTTGTCTAAAGATATAATAATAATCACATATTTCTTTCTCTACAGTCACCAAAACTATCATAGCAAATATGTAGGTAATTTAAATATTTAACAATCAAATAATATCAAGATGATCTTGAATTGATAAAAAATTTTCATGGTATTGACAGAAAATCATAGCCCACTCCCCCTTGATATTTTTTAAGCTCCCGGAGGGCAAAGATTTTAGTTTTGATCACTTATTTATTCAGGTAACTATTGCAGTTCATGACACATGGAGGTCAGTAAATAATGTTAAACAAATTAAGAAAACATTGAAATGTTTCTGAGCTCTGGATGCTTTTGTTAATACCCTCTCATCCTGAGAGAACAATCTCGAGAAACAAGATATAACTAAAATGTATTACCCAGCTTTCTCTAAGATGCCATCAGGACTAATCATGCTGTGTCTTAGAGTTCATCTTTTTCCTCTAAGATTCCTTGTCTCTAAGCTCGTCCACCTATATTCAGACCGCCATCTTAGAGGGCTGTATAATCTCTTTCTTCCCCAATCCTCAAACATCAACTCTGCTCTCTCAAACTCATGCATATTCATCAGAAAGGATCCTTTCACTTCTCAGTTTCTTCTCTGTGTGTTTGCAGTAATATATTGCAAAACTCAGTACTTGTCTGTGTATCAAGTACACTATTTGTACTATAGCACTTGATGGAGCTGGAGTATGTTTTTCATGCCCTTTTCCACAGGGTTTGGGAGCAAATGTATAGATCACTTATCTTTATAAATATGCAATTTAGAAGCCCAGATGTTTTGCAAATAAAAATAAAATTACATCTTGAACCAGGATGAAGTAACAATATAAAGAAGAATCACATATACTCATTTCTCTCACCCCATCACCACATGCTAGCTAAGTACACAGGACCTTGCTAAGTAATTCACAGCAACTTGTTTCTGTTTAGGTACTCCTCATTTCATGTACTGAAAGCACTGCTTTGTAATGTTTATGTCATAAGGAGAGCCTTTTGAGAATTATATTCTACTCTGATGTCATCTATCACTGCCAGTTACAAATAATATGGATGGAGCAACACCAAGGTCAGGTAGATGACTGTGCCTTCGCTCCTATTTCTAAACCTCATCTCTTTACCATCATTCCAACTTTGAAGAATCTTCAAAAAAGCGATGCCTCCTCACTACTCTTCTTTATTGAAGTAATTTCTTCCTGCCCAGTCACTACTTGACATTTTAAAAAGACTTTACCACTTTGGTCCTAGTGTTCTCTGTTTATTCATCAGGTTTGGTGACTTCAACATCCCTATAAATGGTTCATCCAATCCATGGCCTCCTAGGTTTTTGACCTGCGTGCTTCTGTATTTGGATTTGAAAAGCCTACATTGTTTTATTTTATCCCAACCTTTTTCATGATAATCCTGTAGACATAATCATTACCAACAATTTCATTACCTCCAATTTTTACATCAAAGCATTAAACTTCATATCTACTCTAGTCTCCCTTTTATTAAATAATCAAGGAAAGGAAATTCATCTTGAAAACAAATGATTTTTTTTTTTTCTGGCTGGACTCAGAGACATGTGGCCAAACAAAAGTCAGGAAGAAGAGCTGCACAGGAGAGATAATGAGCCTCTAGACAGATTTTTCCCTAAAGTCTGCAAAAAGGCATTCGAGCCCTATGAGTACCTTGATTGTAGCCTTGTGAGACTCTAAGCAGAGGTACTATTTGAGCCATGCTATTAGCTAGACTTTCTATAGACTAGTGAAATAATAAAATTGTATTATTTTGTGATTCTAAGTTGGTGATAACATGGTATGACAGCAATACAATAATGCAGAAGTTAAATGGATAACTCAACCCTAACATGTCCAATGCAGAATTTATGATATTCCAAACCCTTACATCCTGATCTTTTCCCATTTTTTCCCTAACTTACTAAATGACACCGTTATTGACACAGTTGTTTAGGCCAACATTATCAGAGTTACTATTAGATTATGTATTTTTCCTTAAATGCAAGATTCTATACTTCATCAAAGGTTTCTGGATATTTTTTTGGCTGTATGCTGCAGCTGATCACTTCATCTCTGTTGAACTTTCCCTAGTTTAAGCCACTTCTTCTTTCATCAGGACTTCTGAAATAGCCAGCTCTCTTGCTCTTTCTATTTTATTTTAAGTTTGAGGATATATGAGAAGGATGTGCAGGTTTGTTACATAAGTAAATGTGTGTCATGTTTGTTTTCTGCATCTATCAACCCATCACCTAGGTATTAAGCACTCTTGCTCTTGTAATAGTTTGCTATCCATAGAGCAGCCAGAGTGATGAAGTTCAGAAAATGTTAATCAGATAATGCTGTTTCTTCATTTGAAGCTATAATGACTTCCCATAACATGTAGGATAAAGTTCCAAATCAAAATCCCTTTATGATGTATTTTTTCTCTACCTTCTTCATATCATCTGCTTCCACTCTCCTCTTTTGTAAGTGTGAACTACATTAACTTTCATTGGCTCTTCCCATACACAAAATTTATTGCTGTTTCAGCTCTTTACATGGGGGGATCTCTTTTGCCTTGAACACTTTTTCTCTAGATCATTTTGTAATAAGCTCCATGAGGACTATACTTTGACTACCTACAGTATTGCTGTTATTGTGCTACTAAAACAGTCCCTGTGTTCTGGTAGGTTCTCAAAAGTGAAAGAGAAACCTGGGCAATGTAGCAAAACCCCATCTGTACTAAAAATACAAAAAACATTAGCCAGGTGTGGTGGTGTGTACTTGTAGTCCCAGTTAGTTGGGAAGCTGAGGTGGAATTTCCTGAGCTCAGGAAGGCGTGTCTACAGTGAGCTGTGATTGCCCCACTATACTTCAGCCTGGGTGATGGGAGTGAGACCCTTTCCAGGGAGAAAACAAAAAAGGAAAGCATTAAATACGTACAGAAATTTTGTGTTTACTTTAGGTGTCCTGAGAGGTTTTAATTTATGTGTTTGATGGCAATGTGGGAAGTTAATTGTCCCGAAGGAAAAAGTCAAGCATAGAAAGATAAAGCTCTGATGACATCATGAGGCCATTTCCTAGATAGTCTTATCATAATACTTCTGATTGAAACATCAACGAATAGATACATTAGAAACTTGGAAATCTCAGCCATCATCTTCTTCTTGTTGCCTTCTGAACCTATCTTCTATCTCTGTCCTAGCGTAGAAAAAGATTTTCATATCAAATTCAAAGACTTGTGTTTCACCTCTCAGATATTTAGATTTGCTAGAATTGTGTTTCTTTTCTGCAACTATTTATAAGCAGTGATCAGATGGTATTTAGGAATTTCTTTGGGACAGGCTATGGTGAGGTCTAAGGTTTTTTTCCTTTTAGTGTCTATTAATATTCTATTTTGTGCTTTGTAATTGTCTGTTGGGTTGCCATACTGAAGAGGGCCTCTGGTGGGCTATTCTTCTAACTTCATAACCCTACACTTCAAGTGCCAGTGTCTTATTGCATTTTTCCTTACTTTTTTGGCCTTGGGGGACAAGGCCAGCCTCTGGTAGTACTAAAATTTGTTCAGGTGACATAACTGAGGGGTGAACGGGTGGCTCTGATAGCAGTGGAGACTTCATAGTGTTGCTCACTTCTTTATTTTTCCCTATTAATATAAAGGTTTTTGGGGATTGTTTCACAATTTCTCTTTAAGATATTTCTCTCAAAAACTCAGTGCTTTGGAATTTTTCATTCTCATCCAATAATGGAAATGATTTTGTCTAATAGTCTCTTTGAAGTAGTGTTGAAATTCTTATTTTTGGTAGCAGCAGCAGTAGTCTTAAGAGTGATGGTATCTTCTCTGGTGGTAATGGTTTCTCTTGGAGTTGTCTGTATTTGGGGTGCCAAAGTAGGGAGGGTAGTATCAGTTGGAGAATTTACAGGGAAAAATAGAGGTCCAGGTGGATAGGGTCTTGGTTGGAAAGGTGGCTGTGGATAACCTGGGCGAAAAGGGGGATGATGAGGGGATGGTGGGATTCTCCCTGGAACATAGGGTGGAGGAGGGGGTGGTGGGATTCCCCCTGGAACATAGGGTGGAGGAGGGGGTGGTGGAAATCTCCCTGGAACATAGGGTGCTGGGAAAAATCCTGGTCCAAAAGGATAAGTTGGTGGAGGAGGAGCCAGTGGTCCAGGTGGATATGGTCCCCAGCGGCCTCTTTGACTCTCACCAGGCTGTGGAAAAAAGAAGCAAATAATTTTAAATCAGATATTTCACAGTTAAATATAAGGGTGAATTCTCTCTATGGTAGGGAGAACTCTAAGATGGCCCCAAGATTTCTACTCCCTGCTGGCACATGCTGTCCTTTTAAAACAGGTTCTACAATGTCAGAAAGAGAAGAAATCAGAGAGATTTGAAGCTGCAGCAAATGTTTTTCTCTGGGCTTTGAATCAAGATGCCATGCTGTGGAGAGGGCCATGTGGAAGTACATGGTAGACTGGCTATAGGAGCTGAGAGTGGCACCTGGCTCACAGGCAGCAAGAAGGTAGGGGCTTCAACAACCAAGGGACTGAATCCTGCCAACAACCATACAAGCTTACAAAAGGACACTGAGCTGCAAAAAAAAAAAAAAAAACAAAACAACAACAACAAAAAAAACCAGCAGTGGACACACCTTTTCAGACTTGTGAGACTCTGAGCAGAGAAGCCACTTTAGTCAAGCTCAGAGTTATGGCTAAATAAACTGAGATAATCGTAAGTTCTTAAAGGCTACTAATGTCTGAAAGTCTATTTCAAAGAAAAAAGTTTCTCTTTTACCCTCTGAATACTTAGGCTCTCAGTGAAAGCTGGGATAGTATTGACTGGAAAAAATATATAGTGAGCAAAATCTTATCCTTTGCCTATAGTGAGGTCTGTCATTCCAAATTTCAAATGAAAATCAATGCCTTTGTAGCATGGGAAAAACAGACCGTTTTATGTCTAATTCAAGAGTTCAGGGTTGTTGTGGGCTTTGAACATTAATAAATTGTGAAACACATGTGTTCACCTATTTTATGCAATGAGCTAATATAGGAACTGTGGCAGGTTGCCAGAGGTACAAACATGTTTTCTATGAATCTACAGTCTGACTAGTTATAATACAGGGTGGGATAAACAAGATCTAATGCGAAGTAGAATGAGTGGAATGAGTCTCTAGGGTTTCCTGCCACTATTTGAGTTCTGCATCTGGCATATAGAGTTTGGGTGAGCATGATGTCCTTTTTGAGTCTCTTTTTCTCATCAGGAAAATGACATTCATAAAAGTACCCACCTCCTGTGGTTATTGTCAGATTTGTTGTGAAATATCACTTGTAAAGTGCCTATGGTGGTGCTTATCTCAGGTGTGGTTTATAGAGAGCACAATTTTTAGAAATAAAAATCTGAGGCTGGGCATGGGGCTTATGCCTGAAATCCCAGCACTTTGGGAGGCTGAAGTAGGTGGATTGCCTGAGGCCAGCAGTTCAAGATCAACGTGGACAACATAACAAAACCCCATCTTCATTAAAAAATTTAAAAATAGTTGAAAAGTAGTGCAAGGAACAAATACATTAGGGAACTGAAGCAATCAGTTCTGGATAGGAAAATAATGAAGGATTGTCTCTTTAAGAAGGAGTCATTTGAAAAGAGACTGAAGGAATATGAAATCAGGAGGGGACATGCCAAATAGAAGGAAAATACATAAATGTTCTGGGGTAAGGATGATGTTCCACTCTACTGATGGCAAGAAGTCCAGGTTACTTGGAGCAGATAGTTTATATAGCACACAAAACCATTCACTTCTTGTGGTTCTCAGTCCCTTCACATGTTTGGCTGCCCATTATCCTTGGTAATCCTAAACTTTAATATCACCATAAATCATCTCTCTCCTGAATTCTTAATTCCAGATTCTTAACAATGATAGAGGATGTAACAAGCACTGTATTATCAGAAAGTTAGTTACCTTCAGTGCTGCCTGAAATCCTTTTTTGAGGATTATCTTAAATTATCTCTTCCCACTTCTCCAGAGGCCTGTAATGTTACATTGATGCCAGTTTTATCATCATTTTCCACCTCATCCTGAGTTCTCATCTACCCCACCAAGATGGCCTTCCTCCTGCTTCACCAAAATATTGCAGGCAATTAGAAATGAACTTCCCTGATTTACTGGCCACACAACCATGAAGTCATTGATAGCTAGATAGTTTTTTTTTCTTTATGATTCTTTTCTCAGGGACGGGGCTCTGTCAGTCTTCCCTTTTACTTTCGGAAACTTTAATATCTGCCTTTTAATTGGCTCATTTTCTTCAGAAAAGCACTGTCACTTACGTTCAACTCAGTTTTTTCTCCCTATCCTATCAGCTCCGCATCCCACTCCCAGAATTCTAAATGTAACCCACTTCTTATCATCACTCTTGCTTTCATTCTAATCTGTCACTATTTTTACCAAAATTACTCTAACAGCCCCTTGATATGACCTCTTGATTCTACTCTTGCCCCTTTAACCTAACATATGCAGAGAGGTTAAAGACATCATTTGAGAAATAAATATCAATTTATATAATTCCCCTGTTTATAAGAGAATTAGTTTCACCACCAATACCCTTGTTGTGACTTTCTTCTTATCTCTTTCCTTCAAAGCAAAGCTGTATGAAAGGGAATTCTATATTTGCCAACACCAGTTCTTATTTCCCATTTGCTCTTCAACTTGGCCTCTGCCCTTAACATGCCAGCAAAACTTTTATTCATATCACCAATGAAATGAAAAAATAAAAAATTCCAAGGCAATTCTGTGGGACCAGCCTCATGTTTGTCTTCTCCAGCTAGTGATAGTTTGTGGTATTATGGAGAGTGTTTGACCCGAGGGCTGCTAATCCAAAGACTAGTCAGGGTATATGGAAGTTCAGAATTTGACTTTTTATTGTCAAGAAAACAAATCCTTAGTATGAGAAAATATTTCACATATTTTTATTGTTGAGACAATTAAAAAATTAGCTGAAAGTAACCTTTTAAAGATATCCTGATGTTGATCTAAATATTATGTAATGAAAAATCTTTGTAGTAAATATCTGTTCTTTTCCTGATCTCTTAACTCAGTCACAGCAATTAGCTCCCTTTCAATTGGCTAAAGTAAAATGATAACAATGATGAAAATACTATATTAGGAAGAACCACTACTCTCTCAAAGGGCTATAACTAATGTTAATCTCCTACATTATTCAATTTAGAAATAATTGTGCTAAGACATGCATACTTTGAATCTAAATTTAATTTTTTTTTGATGAGGCTATAAATAGACTTGCTTTGAGGATTGAAAAAGATAATGCATGTAATGCCTTTGGAAAATTACCTATAACAGAGAAAACACTCAAAAGGTGACAGGTTGAATATGACTACTTACCCCACCTACAAATATATATACACAAAGGACATGTTACCCTTCACATTTCCAATGTTCAGTAGTTATTAATCATCATGAATCACATAATTTGGAAAAAGTCTCCTTTCTATTTAAAATGCTTTTATTATTGGAAAGCTCTATTTTTCAAATATATCTTACAGAAAAGTTATTATTTGTTTAATAACAGCCTGATACTTTAAAATAATAAAATGTTTTTCTCTTTTATTCTGAGGACATAAAAATATTGAAAATTGGCTTTATAATGAAGTCATTAAGACATGGAAGTGATAGCATGGGGAGAAATGACAGATACAGGTGAGGGGACAGAAGGCAGAAAACCACACTGCCATGTGTGTACCTATGCAACAATCTTGTATGTTCTTCACATGTACCCCAAAACCTAAAATGCAATTAAAAAAAAATAGACATGACCTTTAATGTAGGCCAGTATGTTTCTGACTTATAAAAACTTATGTCCACTCATAATGCATGCAGTAACATGGCCAAAGTCAGAATATTTCAGTCATCTCAGAATGTTCTGCTTTTATTCAAGTTTTTAAAAGTAGAAGAGAGAGGCATTATTTTATGTTTCATGTTTCAGAATGATACAATTGTAGGTTGCCTGCTTTGTGGAAGTCACAGTCTTCTGAAAAATCAGCTTTCATGTTTTCCCATTTGATCTAATAGATTTTATGGTACTTCAGGAGAAGTTACTCTGGAATTAATCTCCCTTTTCTAACACTGGAATTAATCTACCCCTCCTTTCAAACTGAGGTTCATTCTATTACTTTAAAGAATACGCATTAAAAAATTCTTTGTAATTTTGTAGCATATTGAGAATGTTCTAAAATGAAAAACTAGGTTGAGGACAATGAAAGTTTTCTTTAACCTAGTTTTTAATATATAGTAGGTGTTACTATAAATGTTTATTATTTCCTCAAAATTTAGCATACAAGCGTTCTCCTAAATCCTTTGCAAAATGCATCTTTCCAGGTCCCATTATGGGATAATCTTATTCAGGCTTGGCTGAGGAATTTAAAACTATGTTTTCAGTAAGTGAGTTAGGTGACTCCATATGTTAAGAACAACTAAACAATCTCATTTTACGGTGGTTTTGCCTGCTGTGTAATTGCTAGAGCACAGGAATTTACATTTATATAGCTGTTTACTGCAATCTGATATTATAGATTAGAGCTACCCAATATGCAGGTATTTAAATTAAATTATATTTTAAATTTAAATTTAAGCACTAGAACAGTGTTTCATCAATGTGTAATCATTACTAATATTTGAGAAAAGGTAATATTACTAATGTAAAAATAGATCTGAAGTAATGGTTAATGAGAAGAATATAAAGATGTGTGATTGTGATTAACGATACTTGCTGTGAAACATGCTGCAAGAGCCCAAAGGCCCAAGATCAAAGTCAGTGATTTCATCCTTATGGTTGCCTCTGAAAGTAAGCAAAATAGGTAATCAGTATGATTTTTTAAATTAAAAAGTACTATTTAAAATTTCTCGACACATGGATATATTGTAGTAAAGATATACTACTGTAGCATTTTTAGAAAATTTGCTTAACATTATTTTGGATTCAGTATTACAAAAATAAAAACTGGTCCATTATTTTGAAGTCGAATTCTCCTTAGCAATAGAAGCTTTTGTAACTATGGTTTTTGCCTTTAGAGGTAATTCCTTTGAAATGTACAATTATTTACATTTGAATAGTTTTGTATTTTTAAATAGCAGGAACATGGTTTTATAGATTTCTATAGGCTTGGGTTTGCAATATTAACATATTAACTAGATAATGTGTTATAAATTTAATTCCTTGGGATATCTCAAAAACGTAAGAAAGAAATTACTCTGTTTGATGTATTCTAAGAAAAAAAGAATCTCATTATATATCTCCTAGTGTTAGCAACATTCTACTAAATTAATTCAGTCTGTGATGTATGGTCTCAAAGTGCTTCCAAAAATCCATATATGGTGGATCAAAGACCAAATCAGAGAACATGGAGATGACCAGATATTTTATTCTCAATTGGCTGAAAATTTGCAACAACTGTCAAGTACATAATATCTTGAGTTCTGGGAAAGCAACTCCATGCATTATTGTACAAATAGTTTGCGGTCAGTCAATTCTCCACATAGGTTGAGTATATTGTCTGAGCAATGCAAGTCTTGTAAGAATCCTATGGACAAAATTTCACTGGATAGTCAATTGTATATGGGTGTGGCTCTTTCTTTTAAGGATTACTGTTCCCATGATCCATTCTTATGAGAAGTTTGAAAAACAATAGAAAAACCAATGATAAAAATATACTATAGAACAATTCCCTCTTTTAGAGTACATCTGAGAATAATCTATCCTTATGAAGTTTCAAGAACTTTAAGGAACATCAAGGGGAAAAGTCAATTGTGTACTTGGATGGAGTGGTTGTCCGCAATGCCCAACATGAATGCTTTACTCTGACATGTGAATGGCAGAATTTTTCAAAATTTAATATGTTTAATGACTTACAATTTTACATAAAGTGCTTATGTTTTTGGTGATAATGAATGTCCTAAAAAAAGCTCATGAAACGTTATCTTGAAAAGTCTGAGAAAAAATTTAATATTTAAAGTAAAAATTCTTCAGTGAATATTTCCAGGTACATACCTTTGTGTGAGGATCTGTCTTTGAGTTGATCAATCCACTGGTTGAAATGACTCTTGCCAGTTGAAAGACAAAAGATAAAAACAGAAGAGACAAGAAATTCCAGTTCTTAAATATTGCAAAGGATTTCTGTTGTCAGTAAGAGACAAGCTACTTGGAAATAAAATAACTTCTGGGTTGATCCTCTTCAAACAAAGATAGGAAAGTGGTTCTTGCCAATTTGTCAGTCCTTTTTTGCATTTTTGGTCTCATTTCTGGAAAGCATTGACCCATTCAATATTTGTTGTTTCTTGAGGAAGCAGATACAACAAGTAATATCCTATCACTTCATGCAAACAATCTGGGGCCTGTGCCACATCATTTTCTCTTTATTTTAAAGGTAAAGGACCAGTATTTTTCTATTCCAAGTAATTTAAATGGGCCATCTTTTGTATTTTCTATTTCATTTCAAAGAACTAAATTATGTGTGAAATAAAAATATTTTTAAATTGAATTCTATCATGATCAAGACAATTTGGGAACAAAAATGATAATTAAATTTAAAATTGATTAGTTAAATAAGGGATGCTAAATATACATGCACATACATGTGTGCACAGGCACTATACCACGGCCAGTGATGTTCAGAATATCTAAAATATTGCTTGTCTTGATCACAGGGCTATATTTTGTGGGTTTTTTTGTTTCTATTTTTTTTCATTTGAAGGACTGCAATTGTACTCTTCTTTTGTACTTGGGAATTTGTACATATCTTATCCTGTATATTGTTTCTCACAGTTGGCTTGAGTAAATGTTCCTGAGAAAAATGAATGCTTGGATTAAGATTTGGATCTATGTTTCAAAAATAACAGGAAAGAAAAACTTAGTGGTGGGAGAGGAATAATAGTCAGGAGGTGCATGCAGATTATGCAGATTCTCAGTCTTAACTATATTTTATTTCTTTGTGTTTGTGATTATTTTAAGCTAGTAGATTATTTGAAAGACCATATATATATATGCACATACATCTTTTAGGAAGTTCCCCCTTTTTTACATTATACTTTAAGTTCTGGGGTACATATGCAGAATGTGCAGGTTACATAGGTATACTCATGCCATGGTGGTTTGCTGAATCCATCAACTTGTCATCTACATTAATCTACATCTAATGCTATCCCTTTCCTAGACCCCCACACAACCCCAACAGGCCCCAGTGTGTGATGATCCCCTCCCTGCGTGTATGTGTTATCATTGTTCAACTCCCACTTATGAGTGAAAACATGCAGTGTTTGGTTTTCTGTTCTTGTGCTAGTTTGCTGAGAATGATGGTTTCCAGCTTCATCCATGTCTCTGTGAAGCACTTGAACTCATCCATTTTTATGGCTGCATAGTATTCCATGGTGTGTATGTGCCACATTTTCTTTATTTAGTCTGTCATTGATGGGAATTTGGGTTTGTTCTAAGTCTTTGCTGTTGTGAACAGTGCCACAATAAACATATGTGTGCATATGTCTTTACAGTAGAATGATTTATAGTTATTTGGGTATATATCCAGGAATGGGATTGCTGGGTGAAATGATATTTCTGGTTCTAGATCCTTGAGGAATTGCCGCACTGTCTTTCACAATGGTTGAACTAATTTACACTCCCACCAACAGTGTAAAAGCATTCTTATTTCTCCACATCCTCTCCACATCTGTTGTTTCCTTACTTTTTAATGATCATCATTCAAACTGGTGTGAGATGGTATCTCATTGTGGTTTTGATTTGCATTTCTCTAATGACCGGTGATGATAAGTTTTTTTTTTCATATGTTTGCTGGCTGCATAAATGTCTCCTTTTGAGAAGTTTCTGTTCATATCCTTTGCCCACTTTTTGATGGGGCTGTTTTTTTTTTCTTGTAAATTAAATTTGTTTAAGTTCTTTGTAAATTCTGGATATTAGACATTTTTCAGATAAATAGATTGGAATTTTTTTCTCCCATTCTGTAGGTTGCCTGTTCACTCTGATGATAGTTTCTTTTGCTGCACAAAAGCTCTGTAGTTTAAGTAGATCTCATTTGTCAGTTTTGGCTTTGGTTGCCATTGCTTTTGGTGTTTTATTAATCAAGTCTTTGCCCATGCCTAAGTCCTGAATGGTATTGCCTCGGTTTTCTTCTAGGGTTTTTATTGTTTTAGGGTTCATGTTTAAGTCTTTAATTCATCTTGAGTTAATTGTTTCATAAGGTGTAAGAAAGGAGTCCGGGTTCAGTTTTCTGTGTATGGCTAGCCAGTTTTCCCAACACCATTTATTAAATAGGGAATTCTTTCCCTATTGCTTGTTTTGGTCAGGTTAGTCAAAGATCAGATGGTTGTAGATGTGTGGTGTTATTTCTGAGGCCTCTGTTCTGTTCCCTTGGTCTATATATCTGTTTTGGTACCAGTACCATGCTGTATTGTGAAGAAAGTCAATGGTAGCTTGATGAGGATAGCATTGAATCTATAAATTACTTAGAGCTGTATGGGCATTTTTATGATATTGATTCTTCCTATCCATGAGCATAAAATGTTTTGTATCTTCTCTTATTTCCTTGAGCAGTGGTTTGTAGTTCTCCTTGAAGAGGTCCTTCACATCCCTTGTAAGTTGTATTCCTAGGTATTTTATTCTCATTTTAGCAACTGTGAATGAGAGTTCACTCATGATTTGGCTCTCTATTATTGGTGTACTGGAATGATTGTGATTTTTGCACACTGATTTTGTATACTGAAACTTTGCTAAAGTTGCTTATCAGCTTAAGGAGATTTTGGGCTGAGATGATGGGGTTTTCTAAATATACAATCATGTCATCTGCACTCAGTGATAATTTTACTTCCTCTCTTCCTATTTGAATATGCTTTATTACTTTCTCTTGCCTGATTGTCCTGGACAGAACTTCCAATACTATGTTGAATAGAAGTGGCGAGAGAGGGCATCCTTGTCTTGTGCCAGTTTTCAAAGGAAATGCTTCCAGTTTTTTTCCCATTCAGTATGATATGGGCTGTGAGTTTGTCATAAATAGCTCTTGTAATTTTGATATATGTTCCATCAATACCTAGTTGATTGAGTGTTTTTAGCATGAAGAGGTATTTAATTTTATTCAAGGCCTTTTCTGTATCTATTGAGATAATCATGTGGTTTTTGTCATTGGTTCTGTTTATGATGGATTACATTTATTGATTTGCACATGTTGAACCAGCCTTGCATCCCAGGAATGAAGCTGACTTGATCATGGTGGATTCGCTTTTTGATGTAATGGTGTATTTAGTTTGTCAATATTTTATTGAGGATTTCGCATCAATGTTCATCAGTGATATTGGCCTGAATTTTCTTTTTTTGTTGTGTCTTCTCCAGGTTTTGGTATCAGGATGATGCTACCCTCATAAAATGAGTTAGGGAGAATTCCCTCTTTTTCTGTTGTTTGGAATAGTTTCAGAAGGAATGGCAGCAGCTTCTCTTTGTACCTCTGGTAGAATTCGACTGTGAATCCATCTGGTCCTTGAATTTTTTTGGTTTGTAGGGTGTTAATTACTGCCTCAATTTCTACTTCTTATTGGTCTATTCAGGGGTTTGACTTCTCCCTGGTTTAGACTTGGCAAGGTGTATATGTCCAGAAATACATCCATTTCTTCTAGATTTTCTACTTTATTTGCATAGAGGTGTTTGTAGTATTTTCTGACGGTACTTTGTATTTCTGTGACATCAGTGATTATATCCCTTCTATCATTTTTTATTGCATCTATTTGATTCTCCTCTCTTTTCTTCTTAATTAAGCTGATTATTGGTTTATCTATTTTGTTGACGTTTTCAAATAAGCAGCTCCTGGATTCATTGATTTTCTTTTCTTCTGGTAGCTTTTTAATTTGTTTGCTTTTGCTTCTCTAGTTCTTTTAATTGTGATATTAGTTTGTCGATTTTAGATCTTTCTTGCTTTCTCTTGTGGGCATTTAGTGCTATAAATTTCCCTCTAGGTACTGCTTTGAATGTGTTCCAGAGATTCTGGTCCGTTGTATCTTTGTTCTCATTGGTTTCAAAGAACTTATTTATTTCTGGCCTCATTTCATTATTTACCCAGTAGTCATTCAGGAGCAGGTTGTTCAGTTTCCATGTAGTTTTGCGGTTTTGAGTGAGTTTCTAACCCTGAGTTCTAATTTGATTGCACTGTGGTCTGAGAGACTATTTGTTATGATTTCTGTTATTTTGCATTTGCTGAGGAGTGTTTTACTTCCAATTATGTGGTCCATTTTAGAATAAGTGTGATGTGGTGTTGAGAAGAATGTATATTCTGTTGATTTGTGGTGAAGAGTTCTGTAGATGTCTATTAGGTCCACGTGGTCCAGATCTGAGTTCAAGTCCTGGATATTCTTGTTAATTATCTGTCTCATTGATCTGTCTAATATTTACAGTGGGGTGTTAAAGTCTCCCACTATTATTCTATGGGAGTCTATGTCTCCTTGAAGGTCTCTAATAACTTACTTTATGAATCTGAGTGCTTCTATATTGAGTGCATATATATTTGGGATAGTTAGCTCTTCTTGTTGCATTGATTCCTTTACCATTATGTAATGCCCTTTTTTGTGTCTTTTGATCTTTGTTGGCTTAAAGTCTGTTTTACCAGAGACTAGGTTGCAACCCCTGTTATTTATTTATATATATATTTTTTCAATTTGCTTGGTAAATATTTCTCCATCCCTTTATTTTTAGCCTATGTGTGTCTTCATGTGAGACAGGTCTCCTGAATACAGAACACTGATGGGTCTTGACTCTTTATCTAATTTGCCAGTCTGTGTCTTTTAATTGGGCCATATAGCTCATTTAGATTTAAGGTTAATATTGTTATGTGTGAATTTGAGCCTTTCATAATGATGCTAGCTGGTTATTTTGTTTATTAGTTGATGCAGTTTTCTCACAGTGTTGATGGTCTTTATAATTTGGCATGTTTTTGCAGTGGCTGGTACTGTTTATTCCTTTCCATGTTTAGTGTTTCCTTTAGGAGCTCCAGTAAGGTAGGCCTGGTGGTTACAAAATCTCTGAGCATTTGCTTGTCTGCAAAAGATTTAATTTGTCTTTTGCTTATCAAGC